TGGGCCCGGACAAAAGTTCACATTTCTTGATAGGGATTATTGGATACCCATCTTGTCTACGGCGAGCGTTGTGCAGTCCAAAGAAGGCTGCCTCGCGAGCTCATTCATTTCCTTTGTTACTATTACCCATCCTCAGACGGATCTCTCCTGGCCTTTGCAGCGCTGAAACATTGCCTGCACATGTTCTTCAGAACAAGTATCTAAGAATCATCACGAAACCAAGTACACAAACAGGTCTACGTGCCTCCAGAGCATTAATCACCTACACGGCATCTACTGCCCTTTCCTTAATACAATTCATTTGGTATCATTCCCTCCATCACACAGACTGAACTTCTTGGCTTCTTTTGTATCACCCTTCGCCCGACTCTTTGATGCATCTATTTGCCTGTACCTACTTCTATTCTCTGCTTCGTGTACGTCTACAGAGAGGAATACGAGGAGGTAATAGGCTGTACATATCTGTAATGCGGATGGACGAAAAATGGCTTGAGGAAGTCCTGCAGTCAACCAAGCTAGAAATACCAACGAAATCTCATCAAATTGATCCACCTGTACCATTATCCTGATGAAGAAGCTGCGATGTATCATCAAACTAATGCATGCACGGTTTATATGTTGAGCCAGACACTAGCAATGGTTCATATCGAAATACTACGGTAGCGACGGCCGTTGATAGCTGCACCCTTAGCCTCTACCAAGGCGTCATACATGTGTAACCTGCTTTTCCTCAGCTGTCAAGTCGCGTCGCAACCAAACTGGGACGCGTCGGCGCTAGTGGTAAGCGATCCCCGCATCGCGCATCCCTGCCCCACCAAACATCTGCAATCTGCATGCACGCTCGCTGCAAGCCAACACACGCATGCATCCGGCCCGAGACATACTTCACATCTCTGTCGCGCATCCCGCTGCTCTTCGGGTGCCTGCCGATTGCTCACCTTCGATCTCATCACCCCGCCTTACCTCGATCTCGGTGCCGCCACGATACACGCGCGCGTGAGACACGGCAGACACGCGACTTACGTACCTGACCGATACGACCGTTGAATTTGGCAAAAAGCAAAGGGTTCATTTGTGTGGAACGGTACAATGGACATCGACGACCTTCTCGCAGAGGTCGCGGTCGATTCGACGCCAAGAGAGACACGCGATCTGCAGGAACTAACGCGGTGTTGGGTCGCGGAAAGAGTTGCGCCGGAGATGTTACCGTGGCCTGAGGAGCTCATGGAGAGGGTGTTGGAGCGGATTAGGCGACAGGTGAGCCTATGGAAGCCTGCAGCGCGCGCGACGTGAGGTAGCTAATGACGCAGCCAGATTGAACTTGTCGAAGACCAGACGGGCGATATGAACCCGAAGACGAATTTCAAACTCATCATTATACAGACGGAGCTTGAGCGGTTCAAGTTCTTGGTGAGAAGTTTTCTGAGGGCGAGGATAAAAAAGGTAGGGCACTGTCTTGCACTACTGCCAATCTGTACAGCGGCATACTGACACTGCGACTGTAGATCGACGCACACCCTCTGCACATCCAATCGCTACATACGACCTCCCTCGAAACGACCTCGCCTCTCCTCTCCCCATCCGAACACCAATACTTGACGTCGCATCAAGCGCTCCTCTCCTCGCACTACACGTCCTCGTTCCTCTCGCAGTTCCCGGCGTCGCTACAACGGCTCGATGATACGACGGGCGGTATAAGCATGATAGATAAACCGGATGAGGATAAGGCGGTCTTTGTCAGGGCATTACGCGATGTAGGAGAGATATTCGTGGAAGGAACAGATCGGAGGTTTGAGATGAAGAGGGGGGATGTTTGGGTTGTGAGATGGAGTGCGGTGAGGGCTTGGTGTGTGGGGTGTGGCACGGGAGATGTGGAGTTGATATGAGGCAGATGATCGGTCATACCGTGAGCGAGAAGAGAATAACATAAAGTGGTTTCGCGCCAGATGGGCGATTCCAGATATCACTACCAGATCGCGTGAAGGACGACGTGAGGGAGCTCTGAGCGTGAGCGTACACCAGACGAGTTCGAGACGGTGAAAGCCAGAGACGCAAATCTTCTCAAAGACAGAACCTAGCACGAGCAATCTGCATCGCCCACGCTTCCTCATTCCCCTTGACAAGGGAACTGTTGGGTAAGATGACCTGCGAAAGGCAGTTCTTTTGGATGGTCTCGGGCCCCAATGATGATGATCATCTCCATTCAATACCCTAGTCTTCTCGTAACTTTCTCTACACAGTGATCGTTCACTATACGGTCAGAAACGTAACTCAAACGTCCATCGTGTCCGCTACTTCCATATTTGGTCCAAGCGATAGAACGACATGCACGAGTCAAGATCTATTTTGGGGCCAGGCGGTCAACACAGGCACATGGTCTTCTGCACTCGAAACTTTGAAAAGAACAGGCGACTTCGACCGTTCACGATGATAGTTGAGATTACCAGAGAGAGACACAATACATCGGCATTGTTGGGGATGTGTTTTAGTGGGCGTGCTTCCCTCTTCTCCTTCTCCACTTATCCACATTCGTTGAAGCCAGATTAGGTTTTGGTATTGATTTGTAAATGTAAGTTGGGTTGAAGAGGTGTAAGGACGCAACGGATCTTTATATAAACACCCAATGACGCTAGTCGCAGACATATTTATTGCCAGATCGGCTTTTGGAGGTATAATGTAGAACATGTATATGGGGAGAGCACATGGCTGAGTCTTGTACGGAATTTGGACGACAGAACAGCATAGAATCCGTCCGTCGAGGTTTTGAGACGCACGAAGACAGCAAGCCACATGTTACACATATCGAAAGTGTTTTTTTTTTCGGTACGCACGTCACTCTCCCTTCTCCACATGGCTTTGTACCAGCGTGGTTGATAGAGACATGTTTGGTATTGGAAGATAGTAAGAAGAGAAGAACGAGGGCTTATATAGAGGTCTGGAGACGCTAGTCGCATGCGTAACCCGGCCCTTTTTGAGATCTTGAATAGATGCGGTAGTCTTGCAGCGTGGCAAGGACATTTGTCAATCTGAATCTGTTTTTGGAGTTGTATCTAAAGGGCGTGATTATCGGTGAAAGGAGCAACTTTGAGAATTGCATGTGGGGCCTTTCTTCATGATGTTGAGTCTCTTTTACTTGGATATTTTAACACATTTCGTATGTAATTCGGAGAGTAAAATGCGCGTGTAAAGAATCGACAGGCGCACCTCATACAAGGAAAAAAACTAAACAGGCCTGCAGCCTACATCAACATGGAAACCTGCAAAGTAGGTGCCCCAACGTCGATGTAGGCTCCGGACCTGTTCAGTTTTTCCCTAGATTAACGTGAGCGGATTCTGTCCCAAAGTTCCGACGACTAAAGGGTACGAGATACCCATTTGGACTTGTTGATAATACAAAACGTTTGACCAACGCCGACTTCTCATGTCTTGAGTCTGTTCTGACTTTTATACCTTAGTCGTAAACATGCTTTCATGAAACAGCACTTGAATCCAGAAGCGGACAGGCACATTATCTCTTTCTGACCGGATTTTAGACATTGGCGAAGCTGACAGCAAGAAGGTGAGGAAAGTAGGAAGGTTTGTAGCAAGGTACTTAAAAACTCCCTGGCCTTGGCCTATGGCTTTTCAATCGTCAATAGCATGACGTTAGTGTATTCAAAAACCCACGTAAACATAGTATGCCGATATCTTGATCGTGCAGCGTGGGAGTGTAACCAAGTAAAGAGACCTCTGGATTGCGCCACACGAACATGGTTTACGCGAATGTCTCTTTTTGGACCAGAACAAGAAAAGACCATATTTACTGGCGCCTCACCTTTTGTAGCTTTCCGAAGTTGCGGAAGTGTAGATAAGGAGGTCAGAGAAGACCGATAGATCTGAATTTATACTGCCGGAACCTCGAATAATAATCATAGCATACTACTGTTCATGTTTTGACACCACTCTTAACGTTATCATTTTATCAGACGTATGCGGTCTTTCTGGAACATTCAGAATCCTCATGACAGCTACATATGATGTCCTCGAAGCCAGAGACGCGTTCAAACCAACATGTTTTTATGGAAAAACGATTTTGTTCCACACAGAGCGAAGAAACTCATGGATCTGTCTGTCCTGTGATTTGATAGCTTGCAAAGCAAGAAGGATAAGATACAGGTGGTAGTCGTCAAGAGAGCGAGGTTTTATACTCCCCCAGGCCGGCCTCAACACATACGTATAGTTCGCTGTTGTTTTTGAATCAGTCTCGCACCGCACATATCGAAGAACATGTACCAATTTTGCTCGTCCCGGAAAGCTTCTGTCATTCGAATGTTTCTATTGTGTTTTGTAGCACCTGCAGTCGCCAGCGCAAACATCGGAAACTTTGTTCAGTCTTTTGATAGTCGGATAGACAACACCATCAGGATGTTGAATCGCATCTTTTGGTGCGCCGTCTTTTTGAAGATGTAGGAGGAAGGAAGATGTCGATCGCTCAGCAGATTATATATCGACTGCGCACGAGCCCAAGAGCCCAAGACTGGTCATGTCTCCTTTCCATGACTTTTTGATTTTCGCATCGGCGGTGTATGGCAACCTCGAAACTCGTTTTGTGGACTTTGCACAAGTGGACACATACCATTGTGTTTTGGTTTTGGTTCTCAGGAAAACACCTGTCCGTGGACAACTCCTGTTTTTTGTAGAAAACGTCGAGGAAGTAGAGTTAGTGAGGAGTGGATGGTAAAGAGAGAGATGCGGCTTTTATATGGCCTGCAGGAACACGTGCATGGTCGGGCTCTCGGTGTGAGTTCCTGCGAGGCATCGTTCGCACATGAGACGAAGTCTTACTATGGGATGAGTGCATACGCTCCATTTCGGGGTGTCTGTCGACACTCATGATCAAGTCCTCATATCTGCATTGCGCACGGTACGAATGTACGCACCAAACACATCATTGAGAACAGCAACTTCCATTGCGTATTGTAACGCTTCTACACCACCCTATTCTACCCAAGTCTCTATACTCAAACAACAGTACTATACCCCCCACCATACCCCCTCCGCCCCTTCCACCTAACATACCACTTCCTGCCCTCATCAGCCCAAAACACACAACTAGCGACCGCAACAAGATGCGCGAGATCGCCCAAACCCAGGGCCTCAGTCTGGAAAACACTTTGCAGCGGCGGAAAGTAGATAACAGCTAGCTGTCCAAGCAAGCTGCCCGCGACAGCGTAATTAAACATCTTGTTGTCGAAGACACCAATCTCGCCTGCAAGAACGGATTTGCTGGAGGAGCGGCAGGTAAGTGCGTTGAACATGTCGAAGAGGACGAAGCAGGTAAAGGTCATGGTTGTGTCGCGGGCGGTGACGAGGTTGTCGGTCGACATTTCGAGGTAGTAGGTTGTGAGGGTGCCGAGCATGATGATGGTGGCAGATTGGAGGACGCGTTGGATGAGTGGGCGGGTTAGGACGCGAGCGTGGCGTGGGCGAGGGGGAAGCGCCATGACGGCTGGGTCGACGGGTTCTACGCCGAGGGACTGTGCGGGTGGGCCGTCCATGAGGATGTCTGGGATAGGTGGTTAGCAGGTATCAATGAGAAGTGGAATAGAGAGACTCACTGATCCACAGAATCTGCATGGCATTGAGCGGATTCTGGAAGCCAAGGAAGGTGCTCAGGAGTACTAAGCTCAATGCTGCCGCGCTGGTGCTGAGTTGGAAAGTAAGGAAGTTCTGGATGTTGTAGAAGATGCCCTTGCCCTCTTCGATCGCGTTGAGGATAGTCGCAAAGTTGTCATCTGTCAAAATCATGTCTGCGGCTTCCTTGGCGACATCTGTACCAAGTCGACCCATGGAGATGCCAATATCTGCTTTCTTGAGCGCAGGCGCATCGTTGACACCGTCACCAGTCATTGCCACGACATCGCCTCGTGATTGCAGCGCTCGGACAATCTTCATCTTGTGCTCAGGACTAGTTCGCGCAAAGATCGAGGTTGTAGCAATCGCCTGAGCAAGTTCCTCCTCGCTCATGTGATCCAGTTCGTCACCACGGATGACTGAGCGTCCAAGTGCTGAGTTTGGCATAATTGGCATACCCAGACTCTTGCCGATGGCGACTGCTGTGGTCTCTGCATCTCCCGTGATCATGATGACCTTGACTTTGCCGGCCATGAGTCTCCGAATGGCTCTTTCTACACCCTTACGAGGTGGGTCGTTCATGCCGACCAAGCCCGCGAATGCAAGACCGCGGTACTGCTCATCATCACCAAGCGCGGAGCTGGTGGACGGAGCAGGCGAGGCGGTACCACTGGCATTCCTCTTCTTTCCGCGAGACGCACCGCTTGCAAAGCCGAGTACACGTAAGCCTTCTTGCGCCATTGCATCGGCGGCCTTCATCGCTTCTTGCTTGTGTGCCTGGTCCAGTGCCACCTCTTTCCCTTGTGCCGTTACGTAGGTATCACAGCGGTCTAGAACCCGTTCGAGTGCGCCTTTGATGTATGCGTGCTCCGATCCAGGGGTGAGGTTGCCGGAATTACCGCCAACGACGACTCCCATCCACTTCCTCTCCGAGCTGAACGGTGTCTCAAACTTGCGCTCGCCGAGTCTTTCCCGGATGTCGTCTTCCCCGAAAGCGTCCATCAGGTCTAAGAGCGCGACATCGGTGGGTTGACCGACCCATCGGCTCTTGGCAGCTGTGTTGTCATCGCCTCCCAGAGTCGAAGAAAGTACCGCTGCCGTGGACGCTGAGGCTGCCTGGTCGCTCAACAAGCGGGCGTTGTTGACAATGTTGCCAATTCGAAGTATGTTACGGGTCGGCGAATCGAGGTCCTCGGAGTCGTGCTTCGTCTTAACATCGATCGGTGCCGCTTCTTCAAAATGCCATATCTTCGTAACGGTCATGTGGTTTGTGGTCAACGTGCCTGGTCCAAGTCAGTAAATGTTGTATCCGCGGAGAATGTTTGACTTACCCGTCTTGTCAGTGCACACGACATTGACAGAAGCCAGCGTTTCAACACTGGGTAATCTCCGAACAATAGCGTCGCGTTTGGACATCCTCAACACACCCAGCGCAAGCGTGACAGTAACGATAATCGGCAGTCCTTCGGGTATAGCGGCGACAGCGAGTGAGACCGCGATCTGGAAGACCTCGATGAACTTCCAACCGCGCCATAGCCCTACCAGACCAATTAAGGCAATGACTCCAAAAGACATGTAACTCAGGTCTTTGCCCAGACGGTCCATTGAAAGTTGGAGAGGCGTCCGGGGGCTTTCGATCTGCTGCAGAGATGCAGAAATGGCACCAAACTCCGTGTTGCCTCCTGTACCGACAACGATTCCTTGTCCGTAACCCGATCTAACCAATGTACCCATGAAAGCGATGTTCTTCTGATCATTCAGTCGTATATCAGCGCCGACCGTTCCTGCGGCTTCGGACGCGTAGAAAGGTGAAGATGGTCGTTGTACGCCCGGCGGAGGTGTGATGGTGTCTGGCGACTTTGAGACAGGCTCGTTCTCTCCGGTGAGGTTCGACTCGTCGATGCTGAGGTCTGCCGCGTGCGTGATACGAATGTCGGCCGGGATGCGGTCTCCCGTGTGGAAGAGGACGAGGTCGCCAGGTACCAACAACGTCGCAGATATCGTAGTTGACTTGCGCTCCGCAGCTGACAGGGCTGAAGTGGTGTCTTTCAGATTCTCCAACTCTAAGCCGTCAGTTGAGGTGCCATTCGGTATGCGGCCGCTCCGTGGTTGCTCCACCCCAGCGCGAATGATGTGTGCCGAATGCGGGACCAGCTGGTTCAGCGCCTCAATTGACTTCTCCGAGCGGTATTCCTGCACGAAGCCCACTGTCACCACGATGGTCACGGCCACAGCAATGCTCACTGCATCATCCAAGTTGCCCAGTATTAGGGATACAGCAGCGGAGCCGAGTAACAGCAAGATGAGCGTCTCCTTGAATTGCTTGAGGAAGCGGAGCCATAGCGGTTCGGGCTCTTCGTGGGGGAGTTCGTTGAGGCCGTGAGTGTGGATGCGCGCCGAGGCGTCGGAGGCAGAGAGGCCATGTGTAATCGACGTCGAGAGCTTGTGGGCCGTGTCCTGTGCAGAGAGGAGGGAATGGGCGGATGTTATTGACTATACACACGTGTCAGCGACGTCTCCAAAACTCCACAGTAGACGCGGTGGTGGAAGCGCATGGCGTACTGAGGGCGTGGTGCTGCGCTTGATGGCGTCTGGCGGCTGCAGCATTGGCGAAGAGGACCGCGAAGACTTGGAGGGCAGGCCCGCGGCATTGTAGAGGGGCAATGAGGACGTGGATGCTTTTGACATGTTGGCATGGCCAGGAGTCGACTGTTGCGCCGCGGTCCAACGTGGCCTATCCGTCCAGAGCTAGCGTGGAAAAAGATGCTCGTCGCCGTGGATTATCGCATTGGTGCTAGTAGTAATAAATGCGTCTTTGATTGGCGGGCGGGGCGAGGCAAGGAAATGGCGAGTTGACTGCGGGCTGTCGTTGGGGATGGTGTTGCTGAATGTCGATGTGGACCAAAACGTCAAAGCACCGGTACTCTCGAGCAGGGATCTCCACGAGGGTCTGGTCACCAAGTGACTTTCACACGAACCACTGTTTGACTGCACAAAGCTAATCCTATCTGACGACGTGTTCTGTTTTCAAACACTCTCTGGAACATCTAATTGCAGTCTAGTGTTGTATCACGACCGTGTGCCGGCTTCTGGCAGCGTCGAGTGACGCCTTGGCAGGTACGTGGCCGCTGCACGATCAAGTGATGGCGCGCTTTACGTCTTTCTGCGTGTGATGTCATGCACCAGCCTCTTCCAAACTCTACAACTGTGGCTGAAGCCTGCGCATTCCCGGTATCGTCTTGTGGTACTTGAATTTACTTTGATTACACGCTGCTAGAATAATAATACACCTTTCCCTCGAACAACCGCCGAGCAGTCCGCGACACAACGCATCTATCGACAACAGCGAACGATTCCGAGCTACTTGCCACAACATCCACCTTGATCGACCCGCTCGAATGCGAAAGACATACTCTCCTCTGGCTTGGCAGAAGATCGAATGAACTATCATCAGAGTCTGAGCATGGACTCGGTGTCCGCTCAGGTGAAGACGGCTGCCAGGACACCTGTGCCTTGCCGCCGGATGCAACGTCGTGGGCTACCGTGCCCTCTATGCATACTGCCGACGCCAAGCATGCTGCACCTGTGAGCTGCAGGCTTGGATGGGGTTTGCCCATACTAAAGGCCTGGACATGAACGTCCGGAGTATCTTCCCGAGAACGATCGTCTGGTTGAGTAGAAGAAACGATAGCCAGCTTCGGTGTCCCGCGGACTTTTGCAGCAGCGTCTACATCAGAAACGAGACCCATCATAACGGCGCCAGTACATCGTATTGACTCCATGTGCTTGAGATAGACGGCGGTGTCTTTGCTACCTCTCCTTAGGTTTGGCGCTAATGTTCGTTCGTCGACTAGGACAAAAGGATTCGCTGCGTCAATTAATGTCGCCTTGACAGAGAAGCCATCCCCGTCTTGCCCTTTAACATGAATATTATCGTATCGTCTCCCAGTAGGAAAGAGGGTTCCGGTCATGCTCCCGGCAGGATCCACAAAGGCAACCTTAACTTCGCTTCCGGTTCCTTTGACGCCTGGTATCGCGTAGTCTCCGTCTTCATCAAACGACCCGTCCTCATCTACTTGAACGGTATCGACAATGAGCCGCGATGTGTTAGTGTTGAAGATCCGTACATCGAGCTATACCGAGAGTAAGTAATCTGTCACCCTCAATCAGAATGTGCAGACTTACAGTCTTCTCTCCGGGCCGTGCCCGTACTAATCCCTCTTGTAAAGCGAATGGCCCAACACCAGCGCACATATTTCCACAGTTTCCGCTGAAGTCGACCATCTCCTGACCCACTGCTACTTGTACAAAAGTATAATCGATATCGACGCCCATTCGAGATGATGGCGAAACCACTGCAACCTTGGAAGTCGTTGAAGTCGCTCCTCCTACTCCATCAATCTGTCGAGCATCCGAGCCTTGAGAACCCATGGCGGCAAGTAATGGGCCTGCCCACGTTGATTGGGAAGATGGCAAGTCGTGACGATGGATGAAGAGACCTTTCGAAGTACCAGCACGCATCAAAACGGCTGGTAGGCTATGTCGCACCCTTTTCGGGGCGCTTTCGTGTGCCATTGGGAGTTCAGGTATGCGGATCGGCGAGATGTGAGAGAGAGTCGAGGCGTGTGCCTTTTGAAAATTGGATGGTTTGAGAAGTGTGCGAAGCATCTATAGAGGATGATGCTGCGATTGAAGGTGATGAAGGTGATGAAGTCGGTGCGTCGTCTCTAGGCTGACATGTGTCATCATGCTCGACGGAGCAGCTCTCTATATATGTCTTCGTTCCAAAAGTGTTCGGGTAGATACCAACGGGTAGAAGCATGAGACTCTTCCCGTTAGCGCGCGTAAGATGCCGTGGGATCTCAAGTTGCTGCGGAAAGCCTAGCCGCGGTAAAACCTCGGCTTTCTTCCCGCGGGACTTGATGGCCACAGGATCTGACGCGCCAACGGAAATCTCTTGTGTCACTTTACCCGTCTCTTCTCTGTCTTTCGCGCTCAAGCCTGAAAAGTCTTTTTGCGAGAGGAAACCTTGATCGTATACATTCGGAGATGGATATTCCGGCAACGGTGGTTTGCCAGGCTCATGCAAGACTTCAAGCTCTTACATGTCCCAGTCAAGCATATGAAATTGATCAAGCTCTGACCCGTTGAAACCATAAAGTAGGTCGTCTACTGAAAATGATTGCTCACTGAAGGTTTGCTGTTGGCCCTGATAAGTCCAATCTCCAGAGTTTCCAAAGGGCAGGTTTGCCGTCTCCGTGGTACTGTACGCCGATGGCGGCACTCCAGGTACAGCCAAGTCGGCAGTAGGGTCCATTGATCCTGGCTGCGCTAGATGCGACGAGTCCTGATCTCGGACAAAACTCTGGATAATTCCATCGATATCGAAGCTTTGCAAGCTTGGTTCGCGATCCATTGCACTGCCCAAAGAAACGTCTGGTGCGCTACTGTGGTTGTCTTCACCACTGCCGATATGTATGCCATTCAGCTCGGGTGCAACCACGCCCAATCTCTTCATCAGGCTCTGGATAATGGCATTGGCGCGTCGTACAGCCCAATTTGTCTCTTGGTTTTCGCGGAAAACAGCCAAGCAAGTCTCAAGGTTCTTGTGGGCTTGAGAGCCCGTACCACGTCTCGCCGCAATACGGGCGTGTACGGTGGCAGCGACATAAGTCGCATAGGAAATCAGATAGGGAGCTCTTCGCACGCTGAAAGTTTTGTCGTATGCTCTCAGGAGCTGTACGATGGCATCCGCCGCAGTGGCGCACGCCATAAACGAGTTCACGGAGATGGCGCGTGATGTATTGTAGAGATGCCCGTCTGCGACGAAGGGTCGGTGCAAGAGGATCGTGAGAACATGATACAAGGCGCTAGTGTTGTTTTAGTACATAAGTGGCGTATGCAGCGTTATGATCACTTACTGTAAGCTTAGGACATGCGGAGGAGGTGTCGCCGCTACTTCGGCTACATCTACCGTGAGGTGTTCGGGCAGAAGCCCACGCCATGTTATCAGCTTTTGATGGATGCTCTCCAACTTGGTCGACAGCTCTGTAGGGCTTACGTCGAAGCTTCTTTCGGTATAAATGGTGCTGAGTATGTCGCTCAGAATAACCGAGAGCTGGCAAAGGTGTCGAAACGTGGAGATACTATAAGCCGGCGAACCTAGATAGACGGCGTCTGGTTGCGTGGAATAGGAAAAGGGTGTCCAATGCTCAAGTTCTTCGTAGGTGTCGAGGAATTTGGTGGGTACGAGTGTGTCTGTCATGCTTACTGGTCGACCTTGATAGAGGCTCTGGATCTTGTCGACGACTGCATTTCTAGTTAGTTTCATGATGAGCAGTATGAAGACTACACCTACCAAATGCTGCCCAGAAAACGCGACGTCGGATTTCATGATCCTCATCAGAAAGTTTGCGATATCCTGCAAATTCAGGCTTATCAACGTGAAGACCGAGGTCAACAATCATGCGAAATGCCAGCCCAGCGTACAACCAGGCAGCACTGCGCTCATCGCCAAGAGCAAACAACGAGTTGGTCATAACTAGCAACGCTTGAATTGTTGTGATTTCACTCTTGTCCAAAGCACCTCCTAGGAGCTCCCTCACCCTTTCGCGAAATTGCCAACCAGCAGTGCGGACATCATCTGCAACACGGCGAACTTCATGCCGTGGACTGAACTTGCTGGCGCCGAAGTAGATGGCATTCAAGAGAAGTTTGGAGAAGTACGGACCGCCACATGCCATGTCACGCATGAAGGCCGGGCGATAGGTAGTAAGGAACGAATGGTGTTGCCGGTTCCAATGTAATGACAATAGATGCATACCAAGCTCAGGTTCGACGCCGTCGAAGTCGAGCTTCTTAAGTCGAAAATTGACCGTCTCAAGTTGTCTCTGACGAGCAGCTTCAGCAACAAGACCTTTTTCGATCCATTCATCTGACATTTGGGGTCGTGCTTCAGCAGCATATCGATCGTTGGTGCCTTCGTCAAATAACGTGCTCGTACGCCCATGATAGCTAGAGGAGCCATTGGCAGCAACAACAATGCGCGACACGCTTTGAGGTGTAGTCGCAGGGGTCTGTACAACATGTGCAGAAGTGGCGATTGATGGTGTTGACTCTGATGTTCTGTCTGATGCTCTTTCGGATGTTCTTTCTGCTCGCGGCGTCTTGCGCGGACGACTGGTAGCATGCTGTGGGTCATCTATAGATATAGGCTCGTAATGACAAATTGTATCATGCGTTTTGCAACTTGCGCAGATTGGCTTTTCAGCACTGCATTTGATCTGCCAGCCTCAGTATGCAACTCCCTGGCGACGACATGCAGGCGTCAGACTACGAACCTTCCTCCGTCGGCAGAATGTACACGCTTCGGCAGCCCTCTTGCGCGTGCGGCCTGTCGCCGCTCCATTCGGAGGCATCGCGGTGTGCGATGGCTACCACGACGGGAATGTTGGAGGGTGATGTTTCCGCCGAAGTTCAGAGAGGTGAGTAGGTGGAAACGGCAAGGCCGCAAAGACGCAGTTGCCGACCTCGGGATGATCTGCCGTAGCGCGCCTGCCTCAAGATGGACAACCCCAACTTCTTCCGAGCAATACACGTTAATACAATGCGCCTTCCTATAAGTCATGAACTTCAGTCAATTGATCTACCGTGGACTCGTAAAATCCCAAGCATCACTTGGAGAAAGGTATTACCAGATCCGTGAAGGTAGTACTGAATTCATTCCGTCTTCCAAGCTAATGTAACTATCCTAATACAATCATACAGGGTACCAACTTCCCACGAACACCATACCTCACAAGAACACCAAAACACCAGTCAAAGTCCGTCTCCAACGTGAAAAGAGTCATACATGAAAAGGGTATCCAGCCAACACCGACAGATGATACCAAGCCCCAAAGAAGGTCGGAGAAACACAAATTGTGGAACTTTTAGGCAGATACAGACACCTCAGGTGGTCCCTGGAACATGGCCTCAGCGGGCGCGTCGGGATCTCCTGTAGGTGCTGCTTGAGCTTGGGATGCCAGCTCGCCACTAGCACCAGTCTCTGCCCATTGTCCCCAAAGGCCACGCTTAGCGCGAATGCGTAGAGGGCCACCAAGCTCGTTAGCTGGTTGCTCAACCTTGATGGCATCCTTGGTCGCCAGCACCAGCATCTCGAAGAACATTTTGGTCGCGTCTGTCCTTGATGTGCGAGCTTCCGGGAAAGCGTCTTGGAAAACGATACTGGTCTTCTGTCGTACCGACTCGCTCTCTTCAGCCTCGGGCCCAAATCGTTCTCGCAAGAAGTGAACGGCGTGTTTTGTGCCGAGTGATACGGGCCCGGCTTCGTCGGGGTGGACTAGTGGGGCGGTCGTGTCGTCGAAGTTGTCTGGAACTGGTGAGAAGATGTCCTCTTCGTCATCACCAACTTGCTGGAAGCCGGGGTCGTCAGGAAGTTGAACAATGTCGTCAGATCCCGCAAGCGTTGGGTCGTTGTCGCCACCAAGGCCCATGTCACCGCCTCCCAGAGTCGGCTCATCCTGCTCAAACTCTAGCTGCAGTTGTGGCGTCTTCTCTCCTTCGGCTGCGGCCTCATCTTCGGTAGCGTCGTTATCGGCAATTGCACCGCCACGCTTGCGCTTCTGCGCTGGGCGCGAGACGACTTCCAATGAAAGGATACCTCGAAGCTCTGGAGCCCATCCTTGGCTTCGTCCGTCGCCCAGAATGCTCGAGACAAATCCTCCAGACTTTTGCATGTTCATCAAGGCCATCAGAAGAGGGTCGCGGGGCAAGAACGATGCAGGCTTGAGGATCTTCTCGCGGTTGTTCTGTTGCTCCCTCAATTGGTGACTTGAGATCATGGTTTCGGCATCAGCTGCGATGACCCTCCTGCGCTTCGCGCGAGCTTGATGGATTGATTCTTCCTCTTCCTGCTCTTGCTCTGGCTCAAACACGGTGACGTTCTGTTCAGCAACCTCCTGCTCAAGGCGTGTGGCCTCCTCCTCTCCCAACTCGGAGAGCGGTGACTCTTCACGTTGTCGCACAGGGAAGTCGCCGGCGATAGAGCCTGCAGGAAGTTCGGTGTCCATGTCCATACCGCCCATAGTAATATCCAGGTCGTCGTCCAGGTTGAGTTCATGGCCGCGTGCGAGTTCAGTGGGAGGATCTTCGCCAAGGTCGATGCCGAGATCATCGTCATCCACGATCATGTCTTTGCCCAGCCCGGTAAATTCTTCGGACCGACGTCGTTCCAAAGGTGCGTTACGGCCGACTTCAATGCTGGTACCCTCGTCGTAGGCGGCTGTCGGCTCCAAATCATCATCCTCTCCAATGTCCAGGTTCAGGTCGTCATCCGGCAGTTCCATGGGCTCCCCGCGCGCCTGCTCAATGCTGCCGGACAGAAACTGGCTGTTGTCCCAATCAGGAACTGTAGTGTTGCCGAGGTTGAGACTGCCACTAAGAGGCTGGGAGAGAAGGAATGAAGGGTCGGGCATGGGAGCCAACAGATCGAGATCGGTGATCTGATCCTGTAGCATGAGGTTTGTGGGGTTGGCGACGTGAGTCTGGGCGGGCGCGTCGATGTTTCCGGGACGGAAGGCCTGCACAAGGGTCAGAAGTGGTCATGTCACGCAGTCAAACTTGGAACCTACCATCCTGATCTTCCATAGGGCTTCCTGACAGTCATCCTGAAGGTAGTTGACCTTCTTGTTATAGATGCGAACCTCACCGAGGAGCAACTGCGCGTTCAACCGCAATGCAAGCGGACCGCCAGCGGCCACCTCAGGTCGGATGATGACCTCGCAACTCTCTGGGATCTTGTGCTGCAGCACCTGGGCCTTGGTAAGCTTCTTCTGCTGATTCGAGGCAAGCCAGACGTGCGCAAGCGCACCCTGCTTGAATAGGAGGTCCTCTGGAAGAAACATGGTGGTGGTTGGGTAGATCGATTTGTGGGCGGGGTGGTGGAGGAGTCGCGCTCTTGTTTACGTCGACGCGTCGCGGCCAAGTCGATGCGCGTGACGTGAAAGCGCGCCGACAATGTCAAAATTGGAGCCCCGAAGTGCGCGCAGATGCAGCAATGGCAGTGATGGTCAATAATGGTTGAGCGACGATGGTGTTGCGGATGCGCTCGGTCGTGGAAGGAATGAGGCTGGTTAGGCCTGGCTGGGATTACATGGCAAACATGACCCAACTCTCGCTTAGTCAGAGGCCTGTCGGAAGACCAAGCCCAACTTCACTTTCCACGCACGTCATCTTCCATTTCATGCTACTTTCACAACGCAACAACCTGCTACATCATTCGGTAGACGATCGATGCGATAATTCTGTTTATGGTGTCAGTCACGATAACGACCGCTCACGCAGTGTGGACAATCGACTCCATCGCCATACGGACTAGTTCAGATGGAAGCTTCAGCAACTACTACCTCAGATCTTGCGACTCCACCTCAATCCGGGACTACTCGCTTCCACATACTTCACATCGACCTTCCTCCCTCTGGTGGCAAACCCCTCCCTAAGCCACACCACCAACCGCTCAATCAACGGCGCACAGTCCACCAAAACGTTCTGCATACCGTGCCGATCACTTACCCTGATCCTAGGCCAAGCCTCGATCGTCAACGTCTGCAAACTCTCTATTTCTAGGAGATCGTCCATCCGATAAATCGCAATGACATCCTCTAGCTCTTTGATGCGCGTTTGATCGAACGTCCATAGATCAAAGGTGCCTAGCATTGTAGGAGGGATGACAACATCTTCAGCCCAGTTACATGAGTCGAGCGTCATGTACCCAACTTCGAATTTTAATGCGACTTCCCTTAACCCTGTACATCGCTTCATGAGCTCGATGTAGGTGTTCTTAGTCCCAGTAATCGGTTGGTAGCGGCCGAAGAGTTGGAAATCAAGTTTGCGAATTGCGGCAAAGCCTTGGTCGTTGGCGCCCAAACTCCCCAGGAATATTGTGAACCGCACTACTTGCTCTGGGTAGATAAGGTAGAACTCGGTCGTCCGTAGAATATAGAGGGAGACATCGACGCGCGCGGCTTGGTTCACGCGACAGAGCTGTTCGAGCCACTGGAGGTATAAAGGGTCGCCTCCGCGCCGGGTGTCTACCGGTCCGAAGTTCAAGGGCTGAGACTGAGAAGTAAGGTCTTCTGGGAGTATCGCATGACGGTAGATGATCTCGCGGAGCTCAAGTGGCAGATTCGGAAAAGGTATAGTAGATTGCGCTGCAGCGTTAGTCGAGCTCATTTTGTTCATTTTGCTTTGTGGAAAAGGTATAATGCGAGACTTTGTTTGTTTCTCGCAGTGTTCGAGTTTGCTGTTTACAAGAACAGAGCAAGATATGTCTTGCAGATTGACCAAGCAGTGTTCCGACACTACTGTTTTCGTGAAGAGTACTACTTCATGATATCAGCACGCAATGCGACCAAGTTGAATTGGTCACTTCTTCTGCTGTGAACACATCTTGTGCCTGCGCGCGCATCGCAACGACTCTACTACCGACCGGCTATGTAAGCAAAGGGATCTTCAATCGCCATTGACGCTGTGAACTGGTACTACTGGATATGCACACTGTCTACGAATCTGCAGGCATGAAAATTAATCGCGCAAGATAGTCACGCTCGGTGTCGAGTATATTGAATCGGGTGACATTGAATGGAGGATAAGTTGAATTGTATAGGAGAGCGGCAGAAGACCGAGAAAGGAAATGAGGTGACGGGTTGCTGGAACTTCCAATCGCTCTCAGCATAACCATGCATGACCGACTTCTGCTGCGACTTACTCCAGCATGCAGCCTGGATCTATCATGTTTCATAATGTTCAGTAAACAGTGGACTTCTGGTCCCTGTGGTCCTTGAAGTACGATAAGCGATGGATCCGCCCGATGATCATCAAACCCACCGACACCCACAAGGCTGAAAGGCGCAATTCGGGGTGCAGCGTTGTCCGTAGGCAAAGTTGTTGAGACCCGACTGCGTTTGGCCGTGCGACGGGTGCGGATGCACCGGACGGTTTGATTAACGGTCGCAGATCAGGCGTCCGGAGCAACCTACTGCAGGGTTGGGGGAAACTGTTACATAGTTATTACTAGTAAATTTACTAGTTACTAGTTACTAGTACTAGTAATACTAGTAGCACTAGTAATATTACTAGTATTACTAGTAGTAATACTAGTAGTCTTAGAAATTTTAACTTTACTATAAATTTTTATATTTTTATATAACTTCTTATTTTAGATATAAATACTTACTTTTTAATAGCTTATATAGCTTACTAACTTTATATTTTAATAATATATAAGTATTTTTTAGTTTAAAGCTATATTTAGTATACTTAGCTTAGTAATATATAGTAAATAGTAAGTAAATTTAATATTTAAGTATAAAATAAAGCTTTTAACTAAAAAGTCTTAATATATATAATAAATATAAGGTTAATATACTATATAAGTTATTAAAAAGTAAGTATTTATATATAAATTATAAAGTTATTAAGTAATAACTAAGTAAATACTTAAAATTTCTAAGTATAAATTTACTAGTACTAGTAATACTAGTTATTACTAGTAATTTTACTAGTTACTAGTTACTAGTACTAGTAACACTAGTAACACTAGTAATACTAGTACTAGTAACTAGTAAAATTACTAGTAACGTTACTAGTAACCCCCATCCCTGACCTACTGCGAACCACTCGCATCTAGTTCTCGCACGAGGTCGAAACTTCGACCGGTTTCGCAGTAACAGCAGTTCGCATCTTCTGAGATCAGGCCAGATCTCGTGGAGAAATCTTCCCCCGTGAGGCCATATCGATCTCGCGCATGTAGGCGTGCCGATCTTCATAAAAAAGAAGAAAGTCTCGAACGCGCACTCCGGCCTCCACTTCAGCCATCTTCTGATATCAGGTACGCTATCTAATCGGTGTCGCGACTCGCGAGCTTACGCCCGCACATGTTTCCGGTGTCGAGCGGGCCGGCTTATCATGTTCTGAGGCAGCAGTGCCGGGACCACATGGCACACATGCGCCATGATTACTGCCTCACGTAGGGTACGACTGCAGCACCACGTAATCGAAGAGGGCTGAAGTGTGACAGGCTAACGCCATGTGTGGATCCTCTGGAGTGGCTTTCTTGGGCCTTGGAGCTGACGAGTGCACGGACGAAGTGGCCGTGCAAGTCTTCATTGCCCACTTTAAGCCGCCTTCCAGAATTTGTTTGAAACGAGGTCCTACTGTGCCTGTCCCTGTAAAGTCAACTTGGCTGTTTGAATGATTAGTCGTGTGTCCACATGGATGCGAATTCGTGCAACAACCTGCTGGTTGCCGCTTCAACAGCCGCCGCGGTGGCTGAGCGTCACCGAGTACGTGTGAGGTATGCAGGCGACAGCGAAATGCCGGAAACGACGGGAGAGCGAAAAATCAAGGTTTTGGCGCTAAGCTGGTTGACGAACTCAGTACAACCAGGGCAGGGTCTCGTGCATGCGTAAGAGGAGACCCTTGCCATCGAGTAAGAGCGCACTGACCGCCGACATTCTGGCCTCGGGTCTCTCCACTGTATAATCTACCATGACACACACATCTTCTGGACGCGTCAACTGTCATAAGAAGTTGCGGCCTCCATCGTCACAGCTGATCTTCCACCTATCTCTTCCAAGTTCTTGAAACCTGCCAGCCATCTGTCTAATCTGCGCTTCATAGCTATAAGCCACGCATCGTGCATCTGCAGAACTTGGGCATCTTCACATTAACTCCATTCGGCACTCCATCACACTATTATTGGACCCATCCGCACGCTACCAAGACACGCCAACGGACCCCATCGATTACGGCTACTTTAACGCCCGAATACGCAATTACTACCCTGCATATCTTGCATTTGCTGGCTACATCATCGGGCATTCACAACCCTCCGGCGCATATATTACGAAGTCTGCCCTCGGCTTCAGGATTATCCAAGTCCAGCACACTCCAAAGTCTCTCGGTTGCAAGTCGCACACAACTACACCACCACTACTCTACTATTCTACTACTACTCAACGACAACAACCAACACTACACCAACCTCAACAACACCAACAACATCAAGCCACAATGTTCTCTTGCGCCAACTACGAGCGAGGATGCCGGGGTCGCTGCAACCGCATGAACGGACGATGCGATAGCTGCCACACACTCAACCTCCAAGTCCGCAGCAACAGCGCCTCATCCACATCATCCACCAACGGTCTACCATCAGCTGCCTACTCCGCAATGACCAACTCATTCGCATCGCTGTCACAACTCAACTCTCAATCATCGTCGACAAGGGCGCAATAACCGCCGGACACTAGGCGTTCACCCTCATGACATTCGACGAATCATTCAAACATCAGCGACTTAGCGGCACGGTGTGCAGGCAACACTCTCCAGCTTCGACTTTGCGATTTGGGAAACTTTTTTTTGGAGCACATCGGTTTAGCATTTACACGGAGCGATCTTTTCTTTCAGTTGTATGATATACCATTTTCATTTTTGCATCTCTTTGAAGGACCACTGCAGGCGTTTGGCAGGGCATGCAAGAGGCGGAGCGCTAGGCAGAGTTTCCCTCGGAGGACTTGACATACTCCCACCACCACAACAATCAAACCCAAATTACCTCACTTGCATCTCCTCATGCACTCGTGATTCTTTCCATGCGCAGAGCACCCTGTCGGCATCACACCTGCCACAATACGTAAGACAAGACTTTGTCCTAGCCCCACAGTCGTGTCTAGATCTCACCCTCATCCATCCGCCCATCACGCAAAACCCACAACCACGAGCCTTGAAGCTTCAAGGCCCGATCCCTTTCTCTCCTTTCACGGCAATCACGGGTCCATATTTCCGTACAAAACGTCGCTCTATTTCCTTATTCCCTATAGCTTCCACACAGAATACGTCCGTGATGTCCCGTAGCTGGGGCACGCAGGCTAAAAAGCCCACTCTTTGTAGGAATCCAGACCACCGGCGCACGGAGTAGTAGGCAGGGCCTAGAAGTCGGTATCGATCGAGCGTTGTGCTGGGGATCGGCTCGCTTGGACGGGCAGCTGGTGCAGCGCGCCTTTGGTGGCCGCTGCACTGTGACGTCAGTTGCGCTTTCTCACCACGTCCTGCTTCGCGATTGCATGTGCGCAGACGTGCGTTTCAGCTCCGAGGCAAGCGGGTCCTCTACGGAGTCCACTCGTGGGCGCGGAGAGGCTGCGAGAGGCTTCTTTTCGGTGTTGTCATGTCGTTTTCTTTTGATTAAACTTTGATCGTGTCTGCTTTCCGACATGCTGCCGCGGGAACCAACCTCGCACAACGAAAGGTCTGGACCTCAGGTGACGGCAAAATGGTGCCGAGGCCAATAGACTCGTGCATGGTGGTTGTGATGCATGGCATTTTCGCATTCCCATGCCCGGGTTCATGCATTTGTGCCCATTGTTTCGCCGAAGGCTGCATCAAACAGCCGTCAAGTGTGTTGTTGTTGTCGCTGTTGTTGCCCAGGTGTAGTCGCGCCGATGTTTGCATGCGCCTTGCTGCAGTTACACCACCCCCAGCACTTCTACAGGGCATCAATATTGGCTCTTGCGGAACCCAACATGCGAAGTCTTCGATCTTCCTGCTCGCCAAACCTGGCGCATGTCAAAGCTGCATCGTGGAGCTCAAAGCTACCTACACCATGTCGTGAAACGTATTATAGCCTTCCAATGAGGCCAAATACTAGTAAATTCAACGTTGGTGAGAGGCCTAAAATCCATGTTGTGGGGCTGTTAATTAAATGTGGACTAGTCTTGCCACCTTCTATCTCATCTTCTATTAGATGGAATCCTTGCTAGAGCTTCTTCATCATTGGAAGACCATAATACGATTCACGACATGGTGTAGGTATCGTGTTAATCAACAAATCCTTCACGCCCCTTTTAGCATCGTGATCGTGAGAGTGATGGAGCTTCCACTTGCACTTCCTTTTGCTCTCGTCTCCTGACAACCTATCGGAGTCGATGACCCGAGGCTCGGACCTTGACTATCGGCACTCGATAAGTGCGGTGACAAGCGAAAGCGAAGAAAGATCTTAGTGCCATCGACTCGAGGGTCCATAAAACCAGTGAGTTGCTAGCTGAGCATAAGCGCGAGACGTGGCTTTTCGGGAAGGAAAGACGCTTGTTTTCCTACGTCATGCCGTTGGAAAAGCTGAACGTGTCTCCACCATCGTGAGAAGTCTGGAACCTCAGACTCGGTCGTGCCGATGTTCTGAATACGGTTTGTGCAGTTCTCCTATCAATGAACCTTGGAAGTCTGAAGTCTGATAGTCACGTGTTCTAGTAATTCACATTCCACTTTGGGCTATCTGGGTGGGCACCGCTATGTGGAAGGAGCAGGTGTTATCGAATACCATGTGCACACTACTATCCCATCCGCATGATTTGCTTCAATGAAGATGAGTGATCATCGTTCAGTCCGCACTCTTAACAACCATCTTGTCTTCGCGCGCAACAATTCCGGCTTTCACTCGACGAAGAAGCTGCGTAATCACTTCATTCAAGCCACCAACTAACAAAGCCTCAACGACCGTTGGAATACTCACCTATAGAACCAGAGCACAACGTAGTACAAACCACCTGAGTCACACCTCCTCGCATCAACCACCAACTATTCTTGCGAGTATGACTCCCCAGAATATCCCCGCTGACAAAATCTCTCACGAACTACCGATATCGCTACCCGGACCGGGAATGCGTCACGTGGAAGCGCGACAGTAGGACAAGTGAGCTGAATAGGGTATGCATGACGAGCTGGATAAGCCGCATAGCACCAGTCGTTGCCAATATCGAACGATGCAGCTTATACAGCTACGCAGTAACACGGTCCGATGAGCCTATGGCTGCCCAGCGATGTGCTTACTCAACAACGTCTTGTGGTGCGGGAGTGATTGTTTCTAGAAGGAGGAGGCTCGAGGTGCATGCAGCCCTACCCGTGTGAGGAAAGCTTAGTTGGCTGTGAATGTAAGGCATAGGCTCGTGATGAAAGGACTAGTAGTAGACTGGTGCACGTAGAAGTTTGCGGTGGGATGAACATTCATGCACGTCTTTTTCCACAACCCTAGTACATGATCCAATCACCCGCTTCCAATACAGTGGCTAGCGAAGGCTGAGTCGGTCTACCAGCCAGCCACAACGTCCGTTTACTACCATCACGCTCCATCCCCTACCCCAGTAACCCCCAAATAGGCAAGCATTTCGTGCAGCTCCCAATACCTGACGTCCTCCCGTTGAGCCACCCCGTATCTACCCGTACTCGCATACCCACACATACCCATGTCCGCTGCCAAATCCCCCATCAAACATCGCATACGTAAATAAATCCTGCTTACCAAATGCCACACGAAGCTCCTACAAGCCTCATGCGCCCTGTGCTTTCCCATACCGCTCCTCCGCTGAATAATCGCGGGATGGGCGATGAGAAGAGCAAATAGCGTGCTGGCTAGATGCATGTAGGAAAATGATCAGCATAACGGATTGTGACGCGTGGGTGTCTCCGCGCAGTTCATGGCGTTGTGATATGGAGTACATATCCCCATTTGAAGCGGCAATGTTTCCTGTTTGTTGATGGAGAGTAGCAGCAGCTTTCCTCTTTCCTGTTTTTTACTTGCTTCTTTCTACTTTGGAAGCGAAGTACTTGCCAAGATCGGATATCGATTACTTGTTTCAAATCTGATTACAGACACAAGAGACTTGCCAAGATATCAAGCTTCGTGGATAAGCTCTTCCTTCCAGAAGCATGTCGGCGCCTTGGTCAGAATCCGCCCCACGAAGGAAGGCCAATTACAAAGTCCGCTTTCGACATGGTGTGTATCCTGATTTGGAATGTCAGGCTACTAGGGCGGATATTAAGAAGTACGACTACTTCTTTGGTGCCGCGCAGAGATGGGTTGGTACGCCGGGGACATGTGAGTACCGTTCATGTGGTGTCATTCTGAGTCGATAGTGTGTGCTAATGACTATCTTATAGTGGACTTTGTCGACGAGTCTTCACTCATAGCTGAAGAGTTTGAGGGCCCCGGGAGTGCTGATAGAAGGAAGACACCGAGACATCTGGTCCGTTCCAGGACGGCTGAGAAGATACCACAGTCGGTATCAAGAAAAAGCCCGCAAGCAAGAGAGCGACACATGCGTCCGACGAGTCGAACCTGGACTGATCGAAGGCTCATACCCGCAGCACCACAAACCACGCACGACCTATGGCAGCTTCCATCGCATATTCGGCGACACACAAGCCCAGCACCAGGCTCAGTCTCAAGTCTCTCCAGTCTCGATGAGCCCCTGCCTGGAGCCTGGCACTCTGATATTCCCTCTCCACATCCGTATATTCCGACTAATCAAGGCTCACTCGTAGCATGGCCGATACCTGACCCCATTGAGGCGTATCTTTTCCGATTCTGGGTAGAAAGGGCATCCGACGCGCTAGACATAACAAGTCCTGCTAGTATTTTCAAGAACATTGTCCCAAAGCTCGCATTAGCAAGCCCGATGCTCATGAACGCCATTTTCATGATTTCCGGGCAGTGCATACTGCGCTTCGATCCGTATTTCCCCACCCGACCGTACGACTACCATGAGAGACTACTGGGAAGTCTCATACCGTATATTGCCGAGAAGGGACAAATTGAGGACGAGGCGACACTGGTAGCCGCCATGCTATTGCGGAATTTTGAGGACTTTCATGGTACGTGAACACGAGGAATTGCGCGGGGATCAGCTGACATTCGAATAGCGGGTACACAAGGACAATCGCATCTCTCGACGTTTGAACTCTTCTATGGTCCCGAAGGCTGGGTGTTCGACATGGCTAGCCCAGTCGTGCAAGCCGCTCTGGTTCTCCACGTACATACCGAAGTCAGCCAAGCATTGCTCAATCAGCCCAGTCTACGCATTGACTATGAAAACTTTATCCTACCAGCTCTGATCTCGCCGGTTGACGAAGTCTCGTGGGGCAACCGAATATTATGGCTGACTGCGCGCATCCTGCAGTGGGCGCAAAGAAGCGTGCGGACAATGGCCGAGTGGCAGTATCTTCGCAGCCTGGTCGACGAGTGGGAAAGAAGGCGACCCGCAAGCTTCGATGCCTTCTTTTACCAGGAAGGGAATGCGCACTCCGTTGGGGGATCTCCAGAACTGTGGTTCTCCAGTGCTTGTCATGGTGAGTCAAATCCATCGTCAGCTCACAAACTGTTTATTGACATGAAGCAGCGGAGGCGAACCAACAGCTGCGAATATGCCGTATTGCACTTGCGGTCTACAATCCAGGGATGATAACGCAAGGCGTACATGATGAAGTTTGGAGAGGGTTGAGAGAGATGATAGCTATCGCTCGGTGCAATTCTCATTGTATTTCCGCGCAGTGGGACGCCGCGTATGCGGTACATAAGTTTGGCACCATACTGCAGAATGACCAGGATCGATGTAAGATGATCGAGTTTCTAGAAGAGGTACAGACCACAGGCATGCCAACACGCACGTCGGTCGAGTATCTCAAAGAGCAATGGAACTGGAGATGGAACCATTACGCAGGAGAAATTAATTAATTCCGAAGAGCAAGAATGTGTTCGTAGCCATGATCACCTGGTTAAAGACCCAGCAAGGAACAGACTACCCATGACCACACCCAGGAAGGTGATGAGAATGATCCTGCCCTTGCCGGTCAGAGCGAGATATGACATGACGCCTACGATAAGCTCCCACCGTCGAGCTGCGTCTCTCCTGGCTTTCCACTGAGGGTTGACCTCAAAGGGTGGCCTGGAAAGAACGTCGTTCACGCCCATCTTGATAGGCTTGTCATCGATGCGCACAGATAGAGCCACTGGCCGATGGTCGGACGTCGGTTGTACAGGCAAGGCGGTGTAAATCTGCGGCTCAAGGTCTGATGAAGATCCGGATGGGAGGTAGAGGATACGGTCACACCATGAGGGATATCGGTGTTTCGACCACTCCCATGAGTCGTCCTCTCCAGATCGCTTGGGCGCATTGGAGTTCTTGCCATGCGAGGTGGCGTACTTGTATGTAGGCGGGAAGTTGATAGGCATTTCTTGGAAGCCATGCAGGGTGCGTTTAGCGTCCTTTTCTCTTATCAGTTGGTCCTTCTTCAGCAGATGTGAGTAGTGTGTTGGCGAGGATTCGGACGCTGTCGGCTGAGGGTATGATTGATGCGCCCCCTCTTCTGGTGGACTGTCGTGTGTGCGGTAGTTCAAGTCGCCGTAGAAGAAGACGTGGTTGCCAGGCGTAAAGAGACCGTTGTGGTCGGCTGGCGTCTCAGACGAGGGGCCAAGCAGCGGTCGCTCTTCGCTTGAGCTGTACGGGGAGTCGTCGTTGTTGACAAAGACCAGGTTCCGCACCAGATTCTCCCAGTCTTTGTTCCGCGCGTCGATATTGCTCTCCATGGGCGCGAGATGGGCGGCCGCAAAGGTAAGATCGAGGGTATCTTCAGCGTCGGGGCACGAGAAGCCGAGGCGCATTGCGACGGCGCCCTTGTTGCCCATGTTGGAGAAGCCGACACCTGCGCCTGCCGACTGTATCCATTGTATCCTCTGTATGACGTGGGGTTTGGCGAAGAGCATCAGGGCCGTCATGCCCAGGCTGCGCGTCGCGATGTGCTCGAGTGAGTCGCTGCCATTGCTGCGGAGGTCGGCGGCAAGCTGGACGGTCGTGGTCACGCGGTCAAAGTAGGGCTTCAGATAGGAGTCTCCGAGGAACGAGTAGGCGATGGGCGCAATTTCTTGCAGGGATATGGCGACGATGTCGGGCAGAGGCGTGTCCTTGGGGAGGGCGTCGAAGAAGGAAGGCGCGAGGGACTGGGGATCGACGAGGTTGCGCGCCGCATTGAAGGTAAGGAGGTAGAGCTCAAACATGATCGATCACGATGCTGGCGTGTCGCTGCAGACGCGTCGGTCAGCACAATTTCGGCCTGTTGAGGGCGATCACGATGTGGCACCAAGGATGACGAGGGCGGGGAAGGTGCAAACGAGGGCTTGGAAGGTACGAACAGAGTTATTGGGAATTAACAACACACGTAAGACGTCTACAGTACAGGTAAGGGCATGCACGGGGAGAGTGGTGGTGCGCCCGTGGACGCGTCTGGTGGCAGGAAGATGGCTGCAGCGTGGGGTAGCAGGCGGTCAGGATTTGCTGAGCAGCGGTAGTGCGGAGAGGATAAACGGTTAGGGCGGCTCCACTGAGCGCTCTGGAGGCGGAGTGCCAACCGCGACGGCGTGTGATTTCAATGGAGACAGTCACCCAGACAGGCCAGGATGCACTGTGCGGACACTGCGGAGGTGGGAGTGCATGCGGGATGGCCTCGCCAAATCCTGGCCCTGCATAGACCTGTCGTCAGAGGCGTCCGTCAACAAAACGCGGTGGGGGAAAAGCTCAAGCTCTTGGAAGGACCGAAATTATTTGCCAGCTGCTTGGGCATCGTGAGCTTCACTCCCAACATCACCTGCTTAATCTTCTTCACTTCCCACTTCTTGCGCTGTTCTAGCCTGCTTCCTTCCTGAGTCGTATCACATTGACCCGAGAGCCTTCTAGAATCACCCCAGATAATCTACTTTACCTCGACGCCTACTTTCTCCTTCTAATTCAGAGCTTCTCTCTACCAACTGCCACGTCCAATTGAATTGGGCTTTCTACCACAGCCATGTTCAGATCTCAGGTTTTCCGTCAAGTCGCACGCGCGGCCAGAGCCCAAGCTCCCCGTGCCACCTTCAGACCAGCACAGTCAGCTATTTCCTCACAGCGACATTTCACGTCCTCGCCTAGTCGCTTCGACAAGGACCCCTCCAACGAGGATGATGTCAACGCTGCAACCACATCAGGCGAGCCTGGTGAGAGTGGGGAGCACGAGGGTCAGTATGCACGTACCCGAGACGACATTGTCGTCGAGTACCCAGAAGAGAAGGACCTACCACCTTCCAACCCCGTCGTGGGTCGAGGAGGGGAGCACTTCAAGCGCACGCTAGCCTCCTTCTCCATGGAGGGCAAGGTCGCTGTCGTCACTGGTGGAGCCCGAGGTCTGGGTCTAGTCATGGCGCAGGCGTTGGTGACATCTGGAGCCGATGTAGCCATTGTCGACATGAACAAGGAAGAGGGCGAGCGGTCAGCCAAGGGTCTTCTCGATATCTTCAAGAAGGAGAACCCCGGATCTAGCAGGTAAGAAACTCAGATGCAGACTCAAAGACCTCAACTAACTCGTGACAGGGTACCCAAGGTTACAGCACATTTCTGCGATGTCTCGAGCCCGACGTCTGTCAACCAGTCTTTTGCCGAGATTCTGAAGAAGCACGGCAAGGTCGACAACCTCGTCACATCGGCTGGCTTCACCGAGAACTACGACGCCATCTCCTACCCCCATGACCGCATACAGAAGCTTTGGGGAGTCAACGTTGACGGTACCTACCTGTACTCTGTGGCAGTCGCGAAGCACCTCATGGAGAGGAAGGTACCGGGCAGCATCGTCATGATCGGTAGCATGTCCGGAGCCATTGTCAACGTCCCGCAGCCGCAGGCTCCGTACAACGCCGCCAAGGCAGCTGTCCGACATCTGGCCTCCAGTTTGGCGGTTGAGTGGGCTGGCGCTGGCATTCGTGTCAACTGCATTTCGCCTGGATACATGCTTACTGCGCTGTAAGTACACTGAGAGACGAAGATTGCGCAGATGCTAACAGAGTTGTAGCACCAAGAAGATTCTCGACGACAACCCAGACCTTCAGAAGCAGTGGACTTCTCTCATCCCCGTCGGTAAGATGGGACGTCCTGAGGATCTGATGGGCGCCGTCACCTTCTTGTCCAGTGACGCGAGTTCCTACGTTACTGTAAGTCATGTTCAGCCGCACCGTTGAGCAAGAACTAACAAACCCCAGGGTGCCGATCTCCGAGTTGACGGAGCCTACACATGCACTTAAGCCAGGGCTAACAGTGGAGTAACGTGAGCGAGAGCGCAAGAATGTATGATAGAGTGAGCAAGTCGACCAGCTGGAGTGATAGTCTGTGCTCAGTCTGGCGACTCAAGGCGATGGGGTAGCTTAAATAATAGTATGAGAAATCTTCAGATAATCAACCACTGAAAAGACACGACCGATTCCTGTTTCTGTACGCATGAAGTTGAGTCTTGCGTTGTGTTTGAAACTGGCGGGTGCGTCATAGTCTTGAGCGGCTTGCCCAGCGCGTGTCTTAGTCATGCCCTCCTCAGCCTCTTTGTGGCCGTGCGACTCCACCAACACCAGCCCTGCATAAAGCTCCAGTCCCTCCAAGCCGCTTCACGAGGGCTAATCTAGTCGCGTCATGTGGCATAAACAGTCACACAGTACAGTATAACCGACCCTCACTCTGCTTCTCTGGCCGGCCCGAAGCCATGTTCAACATCTCGAATTTGGTGCAGAAGGCGCAGCAGTACATCGAACCCACGCTCAACACCATCGCCGCTCCCGCATCGTCAGACCGCCGACCCTCCAAAGCGACCCTCTTCCGCTACCAATTCCGCCTGCCCGACTCGCAGAACCCGCTCCAAGAGATTACCGCCGAGCTTACCCTCCAACCCCACCATTCCACGAGGGGCCCCGGCGACGTCACATCGGAGAAGGAGCGCAGCCAGGGCAACCACTATGTCGGCAAGCTGCACCTGAGCGAGCAGTATCTCTGCTTCTCCACACAGGGCTCAAGCTTCGCCAATACCGCCAGCCTGAGCTCCTCCAGCAGCTTCACCGGACAGACTCATGGCGCGGGACCTGCGGGCAACGGTTTCACATTACCACTATGCGGCATACGACGGGTGGAGCGGCTGCATAGTCAGAGTTACATGTTCGCGCTGGCGATAACAACATGGAACGGCATACCAGACTCGAAATCGCAGGTGCCTGCTGGTCAGAAGCTTACGATTCAGCTCGCGGGGTCGCGACAGGCCTGTGAACGCTTTTGCGATGCTCTCAAGAAGGGACTGAGAGAGGGCGTCAAGGAGGTAGACAATCTGCGCAAGGTGGTGGGGCAATGCTACTCGGAGTATCTTCTCACAGACGCCGACCAGAAGAAGGCCGGAGACGATGGCAAGCAAGCGCGAGAACACCCAGATACCGGCCTAGGCATGATCTTCAAATACCCAGGCAACGCGCGGAAGCTGAGGGATGCAACAAAGATACGGCTATGGCGCGAGTATCTCAGAGGTATGACCACCACGCGTGCTTAAAGACATTACTAACATGCAGCAGACAACGGCCGAAGCGCAACTCTCATCCGACAACCTACCTTCCACAAGCTCATTCGCGTTGGTCTGCCAAATCGGCTACGAGGCGAGATGTGGGAGCTCACGTCGGGCGCCTTCTTCTTGCGCCTACAGAACCCGAACCTCTACACCGAGACCCTAGCAAAGTTCTCCGGGCGAGA